CAGCAAGGCCTTGGGCGCCGGAGCTGCCGCCGCAGCCGCCTCCCGCTTGCCCTCTCCGGCGTGCGGGTGCCCGGGCATCGGGCCAAGGAGGGGCGCCTGGCCGCAGGTGTGAGGCCCGGGCCACACCAGGGAGCAGGGCCTGGCGAAGCAACCCGCGTCCTGCCGCAGCACCCCGCCTCGGGCGCCTGCTCTCTGATCCCAACCACGCTTGCAGGCAAGCGTGAAGGACGTTCAAGTCCTTAACCGAGATGAACAGAGAGGAGAAAACGACTAGTTTGAAGCAAACATCGCCGAATCAAGACTGGCTGAGGTGGGAAGGGACCTGTGGAGGCCGTCTGGTCTAACCCCCCTCCTCAGGCAGGGAAAGATGCTCGTTGCAGAGCCTCGGCAGGCGTGGCTTCAAAGCCACCCTCACTCCTTCCAAGCCCATTCTTTTACTCCCTAATGCAGGGTTAAACATGACGTGACACGGCCATATCCTGCTGTGGTTTGGGATGTGTTTTGGGAAGTGTGGTGACTGGGGATTTGGTGGTTAGTGAAGGAAATATACTCCAAAGAGTTAATAGCGTAGGCAAAGACCTAAGGGATACACACACTTCAAATACGTGGGGACAGGACATTACTACCTCAGATCTCACCCATTAACCGGCCCAATAACTCCCCCCAAAAAAGTGAAATCCTTAGTGGCTGAAATGCAAAACAAAGACGAGAGGGATGCTGCTCCGTAGTCACCTTCAGGTTCCCGATGCATTTATACATGCATCGGTGTAAAATGTGTAGAATATTTTATAGAAATACCTAACAGTATCCTCCTGCAAATGATTGCACTTTCATTCTCAGCAGTTGTCGTTACATAAACAAATACTAAAAAAAACCCACAAAAATCAACAAAACATAACTACATGGGTATTCATGTGTCACCTGTGACTCGACGCTCTGTCACGTGAAGATGTCATTTGCTGGGCACTCATGGGTAGGACTGGGCAGGTAAGGGGCACCTGAAGCCCCAGGTAGGCAGTGGAAAGCAGAAAGATGGAGAACGGGGTAAAGCTGGCAGGCAGCAAAGCCAGGTGCCAAATAATTGATGGATGAGCTCTGAAGTGACGGATAAATGAGTGATGGGGAAACTGTTAGGTGGAGGCAGTGGTTGCCAGCACAAGCACACTCTAAGAGGGCAATTTCATAACCTCCAGCTGCAGTCGAATGCCAGCTGCTGCCAAAGAGGCGGTCACATTTCCTCCATGCTACCCTCAACAGCACAGCTGTGACCCTTTCCTTAAGCAACCCCGACACTTGTCTGACCCAACACCAAACTCGTTCAGAGAACTTGCCCCGTAGAAAGCTTGGGGATGACAGCCCGCTCCCCATGGGGTCGGACCAGTGCACACGGAGACAGGGAGCAGGACCACCTGCCTCTGCAGCAGCTTGCCACTGGATTGTCACGTCTTCAGAAACCGGTGCTGTTCCCACGGAAGCCAGTGGCATGCTTGAAAGCCAACAGAAGTTAAGCCATGGGTTTAACTGCCCAAGAAGCTGGAAAACTCTTGCCTTGAAACAGCCGTGTCATCACCACATACGCTTACGTTTCAGGGGAAGGGAAGGCGCCCCAAGAGCAGCGCTGCTGGAGGAGCACAGCCCAGGGCAGCCGAGGCAGGACGGGCTCCCAGGAGCGGTCTGCAGCCGGCAGGCAGTTTAGGGCCAGCTTCTGTGACAGTGGTGTGGCAAGTGACCGGCGGGCAGGCAGGGTGCTAGCAAGAGGTTTGCTGAGTAATCTCATGCCGGGGTCGTGAGAGGAACACAAGGAGCATGGGTTGCTGACGCTAGGCCACTTCTGCTCTCCCTGAATTGGGTGGCCCTGGGAGCGCAGCTGACCTACACGTCAACCCATGTTAGGGGGGGCTCAGGGTGAGACAGTCCCCACTGCCTTCTGCATACCTGGGTCTCCCCCATGGAACCATGCCAGCAGGGCAGTGGGCAGCCAACACAGGCTTCAACCTGGATCATTTGGGATCGGGACCTTGGCTTCACCACATGACACCCTCACCAACCTCTTGGACTTTGCATTATGCCTGGCCCTGCCTCGGCTCACAGCAGAACAGGGGAGCACCAGGCAGACACTGCTTTTGCTTTTCAACCATTCCTGAACCTCCTCCTCCACCTGACTTCACATACTGCACTTGTCCCCTCCCTTCCCCCTCAATACTGCTGAAAAGCACAGCAGTGAGCTTTATCACCAATACTGGCTTTAATATTTCATTGGCAAGGCTCTTCAGAATGTGATTTACTTTATTCTCATGCTGTGCAAAATACAACTGAGGTCCAAAAGGTATGAATCACAGCTTGCCATAATAACTACTAAACACATTCTGCCCCCAAAATGAAAGAATTCCTTGTCAGCAACTCTGGGAAGTAGTTTCCTTTTGTGACACAAAAGGATAAACAATAAATAATATCCCTGATAACTGCAGGGATCTGTGGCATGCTAAGAGGTCCATGGTAACTGGAAGGCCTTGCAGTCAATATGCTGGAGGTCTGGGATGGTCAATTCACTACCCCATAACTCAGTTTCTCCATCTGTAAAATGCAAATAACAATATTTCTGATCTTTGCAAAGAGCCTTCAAAAGTACTGTGCACGGGCAATTCACATGAAATTGTTATAGTAGACATTACAGGTGGGATACAAGTACATATATAACTTAGTCATCTGACATTTTTCTGAATGGGAAGTGTCATGTTTTCCCATTCTTCTGAACGGGAAGTGTGATTCTCTGTTTTTTCAAGTTTTGTGACTCCCTTCAGGATGCCCGCTTCAGCCTGCAGTGCTTTCCCCTTCTTAGAATTTTATTGCAGGCATGCAGCTTTTTACAGTGAAAGAGCAAAAATTGAGAGTGGGAGAGTGTAACATACCAAGATTAAAAAGCAGCGGGAGGAAATCCACTTCTCTCTTGTATCTCCTTTTCCTCCCCACAGGTCTAGAGGGGGAATCCTGATACTGTTGCCAGACCTGTCTCTCTTGCCAGTTACTCCAAAAACCGATCATTTCAGTTCAGCTGTCGTCTAATAAGCTACCACATTTATGGGGGCAGGTCTTCGGCAAGCCTAAATCATCATAAAGTGTTTATTCACTGTCACCTCTCCAGATCTTATTCCTTGTGTTTAGTATCTGCACTGTTTTTACCATTTTGAAAGTCCACTTTAAAAAGCGAGCTATCCTGAGATGACTGGACTGAATAAATGAACTCAGAAAGTAAGAGCAAAAAACTCTTGCTGAATGTCACAGCTTTCAGTATCCCTGAAAGGAGAGATCACTTTAGCATGGCCTGTAATCCTACAAATCCAGGGATTTTTCTCCTTTTTTTGTGATATGAGGATGATAAATTGAGTAATCCCCACTCCTTGACTTTGCATGCAAATGTTATCTGGCAATTCCAAGTCTTCAGCAGCAGCGATCTTATTCTAGGCAATCACTTGAAAACTATCAAGCACCCAAAGTGATACCGAAACTGAACCTTCTTTAAAAAATTAGACAAAACTTCTGCTTTGACAGCATGTTGAGCTTACTATATTAAAAATAAGTAAGTAAATACTCTCTGCATCTTATCTTCTGATCTCACTTTCTGTAAACGCAGAGCTCGCACTCAGCCATAGGCAGAAGGTATGTCGGCTCTCCATGATCTGCCAGGAACTGATAAGACCTGGGCTGGGTTCCCCTGAAGTGGCGTCACAGCTTAGTTCTCAGAGGTGGCAAGAAGGGAGATAAAAAGGATGGCTGGTCAGAAATAGCCAGTGGAATGTATTTCCTCTGAAACAGCGATTTGACAGAAAGGAACTGTTTCACCAGAAATAAATAACAAAATCTTTCAAGGTTTAATTCATAAACAGGACTGGGCTTGTTTTCTAACTGTGCTGAGAGGGAGGTCAATGGAAAGGGAAAGAGCTTGGAGAACTCATTGCCCTTTCTTTTAGTATTTCTACTCGGTAATAAACATTGCTAAAGCATTTCAAAGCCTGTTTTCTGGATAGAAGAGATAGCACCCTGATTTACTGCCATGTACCCACAGAGCAGAATTCATTCATCATTGGGTAAATTCATTGTCTTAAGGCCAAATTTGGCTTTTATTATGTCGCTGTGAATCTGCAGTAACTTCTTCAAAATCAGTGATGTTGCAGCAAGCTTTAAGTCCCGAAACTGAGGGGAGTTACCACTGTGGTTTACTTCAACAAAAATCAGCTTTCAAGAAGCTGCTCTCAGCAGGCAGAGTAGCTGGAAGACCATCATCTCCTTCTGCCTCGTGCTCCTCTCGCTTCCCCTTCCATTAACGGATAATATCAACAGAATATGGAGTATGCCAGGATGAAAGGGCTGAGCCAGCAGACGAGGCCAAAGTGGCACAAAGGAGGGCTTTGCAGAAGGCAGGTCTCAAAGAAAAAAAAAAAAAAAAAAAAAAAAGGAACTGACAATTCAGATAGGAGGAACGCTAGAGAATGGCTGAGAAAAGCGTACAGATAATTTAAATGTAGGTTAGCTGCCATGGCAACTGCGTACCAAATTACTGTGCTTCTGTGTCTCTAAACCTGCCAGCAGCTACTTTTGTTTGTATGTACTTCAGGCTTTAAAAAAAAAAAATGAACCCACCTTAAAACTCACGATGGATTGCAAATGAGGTGCAGATACTGGGATTGCTGTGGGGCACTTGGTTTAAACATTTAGAAAATAGAGATAGAAAAAATAATAGGCCTTGAAAATTCTGGTTTTGCTAAGTGGTGGAAAAAATACATAACTTCTTTAACACTTACAGCAGTCAGTTCTAACCCTTAATTTGTACTGCATTGACTTGCATATTTACCAGGTCAACCTGACACTTTTACCTCCAATGTGCAGAAAAGAAATTGGTCCTAGCAGCAGCTCTATTTTTTTTTTTCCACTGTGAGAAACTGCCATGCTATAAAAAGAGCAAGACTTTTTCTTTTAATCCAGGATTCTTTGGAAATATAGCAAAATATTAGATTCCCGAAGAATAGAAACAAGGCTATCAAAAAGCATGCTGCAAGGCACGTGTATATTATTAGATACTAAGAATAGTCCGTTGCTGAGTGTGAGTGAAAATATCCAAATGTGTTCCCTTGATAAGCTAGGTACATATTCATCTCTCTGGGCACATGTCAAAGTGTCCTCAAATGGAAACATAATGTTATAATAGCCTAACCTCTGTTCTTCCAGTTCATACACATGTAATCCTAGGGAAACACAGCCTTCACAACACCTCTCTGCAGGAAGCCAATATGCCGTAACATCCACTGGACTTCTCTCACACTGTCCATGAAATCCCTTCAGAGTAGAAGGAGGTCAGTTTTGAAGTTCCCATTGAGATATGGTGAACATCCCTGAGATCTTCAGCCATCAGTTGAGAGCCATTAGGACGTCACCTGCCAAAGTCAGCAGGAGTCTTTGAATCAGCCGCAGAAGCAGCTGTGGTTCAGTGCCAGGAGGTAGCTCCCCATCCCTCCACCATCACATTATGCTCAGCATAGGCTGTGGTATTCAGTAATCACAGCCCGCCTCCGGCGAAAACACTGGGCAGAGATGACATTTCTTTTGATGACATTTTCCCAATAGCTTCTGCTTAATAGGATATGTCTTAAGATTTCCTGGGTTTGGAAAATTTAAAACAGTTAAAGCTACGGTTCTCTATTCCATATTTTGTTCTCTCGGCCAAAATCTAAGATAGTAAGTAGCCCTTAAATACCGCTTATGAAAAACGCAATCCAAAACCTTACATTTCCCATGTATTCACTACATTCTGCAAGAAGATTCAGTTACGCTTGAGGCCCTTGCGCTGTTGCTTGTTCTGGTGGCTCACCCTCGATACAACAATATTATCACCCAGAGTTAGTTTTTCGATTTTCCTTGCAGAGTTTTCACTCTTCATCTTGCAGATTTGGTTATTTTGGCCTGTTGCAGTTATCTATCTGGCTGTGGCAACAGAGTCCCTCCAAAGTTGCCCCCAATCTACCTGCTTACCTAGAAAGCCTGGCAGTATGTCTCCGGTGCATCTGGGATTCTGCATGTCCAGGCCACCTCAGCGGGCTGTCCGTGAGCAGTCTGTGGGGCAGCTGAGAATGGAGATGAGTGGGAAGCAGAGCACAGAGCACGCTTACAGCCAAGACATGTGCCTCTTTGGGTGTACAGGAGTAAACCACTAGGATGTTCTCAGGTTAAGCAGCAGACTCAGTGCCCCTTGCCTGCCCACCTTCTGCAAGTTATGATAAAAAATGTGTTTTCTCCCTAAGAATACAGCCACCTGAGACACCCTGGGTCAGTATGATTGCAGCTACTCTCAGCAACTGTTTAGTACCTTTGGGGGTGTGAATCATGCCAAGCTTAGGAAGCAGCAAGAATGCCAGGACTTCAGATTCTACTGTTTGCCTCTGTATCTGTCTCCCCATAAATCCCCGTTGTTCTTCTAACATCACCTTCTGCTGAGCACTGCATCTGCTGAGCAAAGTACCAACTGCTGACAAAGTATTCTGCTGCTGTGGCCCACTTAAGTGCAGATTAACACCTGATGTTGATATGTAAACCTCAACGCCACTGCACACGGTGTAAATTCAGGGTCATTAAACTAAAGACATTTTCAGACATTCTAATATCCCATATGCCTTGTCCAGCACAACAGGCACAGTCATCAGTAAAGTTATGTCGCAGAAGAATCACTGGGCTGGGACGGGTCCCATTTGCTTTCAGGTTGATGGCTCATTGATCTTTTTTTCAACCAGTGTCTTGTTCCAAGGGAAGAACCACTGGAACTGCTGATACCGTCTTCCTTGTATACACTCCGTTCACTAAGTTGCTGTCAGTCTCTTTCTGCACCTACTGGTCACCTTGCAGTTGCAGGACAAATTGCTCACATCTGTCTCTGAGCTCTTCAAGTGTTTCTGACATGTTTTATTGTGCTATTTTGGAGTCCTGCTCACTCCCTGTGCTAAAGCAGCAGCAACACTCAGCAAGCTTCTAACCTGTCAAGGGTTAATTCAAGATCTCCCTGTGGTCTCTTCTGAGGCTTTTTTTGTTTGTTCTGATCCATTGGTCCTTTGTCTGGGACTTGATGACATGCACGACTTTAGACATTGGTTCGCAGATTGTATACTTCTCTACAGTTTCACTTTCCTTTGTGACTCCAGGTTAGATCTACTCTCTCGAACAGTTCATTTTACATAAGGATATAAGAGCAGCTATTCTAGGTCATAGCAAAGATCCATATAGCTCTGCATCTTCTCTCAACAGGGGCAAGTAGTGGACACCTATGAGAAACAGGGTGAGTACAGAGGGTTCCTTCCCCTTTTATATCTCCCAGCTTCTGGCAACCATCAGGTCAGGTTTTTGAGCCGAGGGCACACCCAGTCCCTGGGCTGAATGTTAAGCTGGCGTTTTCATGTTAGCATTCACAGTGACTCAAAGATCTCTTTCTTGAGTGACAACTGCTCATTCGGAACTGTTTGCGTTTAACAGGGCTATGTTTTTCCCATATGCACTGTTTTGTTTTTATCAGCATTGTATTTTCTCTGCCATTTTACTACCCAGCCAGCTGATAATGTGAGATCCCTGTGCTACTTTCTCAGGCAGCTTTTGTTTTTGACTATTGGAAACAACTGTGTATCATCAGCCACCTTGGCTATCCACCATCTCTTCCAGCCCATTTGTGAATGTGTTGGACAACGCAGGACCTGGCACGGTCTCCTTCCCCTGCCTTCCTCTTGCAACTTCCTTTAATTGTGAAAAATGATCAGTAGCTCCCACCTTTGCTTTTCATCCTTCAGTTACTAATCCACAGAAGGACCTTCCTTCAGACTAAGGCTTTTTAACGAGCCTTTGGGGAATCCTGTGAAAAGATTTCTGAAAAATGCCATTATACAAATGCTGGGGGAAATTGGAATGGGGAGAAGGGTGTGGAGCAAGGAGCTGTATTTATCTCTGAGACCATAAAGTTTTTAGTCTTCCTTGTGTCTAAGCTTCCCCTTAACCTGAGAAAATTGCGTAGTCTGCTAGAGCACTACTTGTGAAAAAGCAGTATATTTCCACTGAAATCTATCTGGCAATGCTGATGACACAGGCTGAATGTTCTGCTTATCAGTAGACTTACTAAGTTTTGTTTCATTAACTCTTAAGTTTTGTTTCGTTAACTCATGTCTTTGAACCTGGTTCTGTAAGCAAAAATACTTTTGTCTCTTCGTTGTGAACCACCGTACTTTGCTCAGAAAGAGTCAAACCCACCTCGAGGGAATGCAATAGTCTAACTCTAGTTAGACTTGGGTAGGGTTAATCCAGATGCACACTGAAGTCCACAAAGGCACACTCAGGGTTTGTATTTTTACCGTCTAACAGGAACAGCTTATGCTGCCGGTGAACTCAGTGAAGCTTTGTCATTGATTTCAGTAGGAACAGGAACACCGTTTGTCATAAAAGATTCACTTGACCTAATCTTTTTGTAAATAAAGAAATAAGACATTTCAGGAAATTTCAGTGTCTTTTTTCATTCAATTATTATTTTACCTGCTTTGATGGTGACTTTATTTGTCCTCTGGCGGAAAATGAAACTGTTTTTGTGCTCTTTTGATATCCAAATAGAGCTATAATGCACGTAAATGGGCTTGTATTTAGGAGTGGTGCCAACACTGAGTAATTTTAATATATTATATAGTTGATAATATCTGACCAAATATTCTAGAATAAGTCACTATAGAAATGAAGGTAGGTTTCCTGTGTGGCTTGCAATATCATACTAAAATACAAAAGAAACATGACTGGGTTTCAGTTATGAAATAATAGATACCGAGCCATTTTCAGATTTGCTCCATAATTGCCAAAATGTTTAAGCAGGTGTGTTTCACAAAGTTTGTGAAACAACAGCTCAGCTGAAAGCAAATCAACATTAGGAAGCAAAACCAGTGCTGAGTGATAGTGCTTAAAAACTGAGAAACAAGAGTGGTTTTAAACAGCAACTGAAAAGACGCTTTGATGTTTTTTAAAGTACTCCCTTATACTCTAAAAACATGTTACAATTTTCTGCAGTTATGCACAAGACATTGCCTCTTATGTATTACTTCTGTAGCTTGGATTATACCCACCAAACATTAACTTCTTTCTTGCAATATGAGCATGTCAGCAGTTTTTGAAGATTAGGAAAACACGTCCATGAACCTAACTGCTAAAACCCTTACTTTTTTCCCAGAGGAGCACTATCTTATGTATACAAATGGGGAAAAATAGCAATGAACCCCAAAGCCTCAGTATCTTCACATAACCAGCCATTATCCTGTCAGCTTGTAGGAACAGGCAAACCCCTCTGCAGCGAATGCAAGAGTAGGCCAAACACTGTTTGCTGAATTCAAGTGATATCTGTAATCAATACCTTAACTCGACCTCAGCCGAGAGAGTACCTTTCCCTCGCAGCACGAGCTGAGCGCCTTCCATCGCCGCGCAGAACGACACGCAGTCCCCCTCTGAATTGCAACAAGGCTCAGCGGTAGCACAGGCAGAAGTATTCAGGTCAAAGACTGCTATCAGAGGCAACGGTGGACAACGTGACCTGAGGGGAAATAAAGAAAATCTCAAGAATTCTGGCTGATTTTACCTAAGCCCCTAAAAGCCTTGAATTCATTTGAATTCACTGAAAGCAAATCACTTCATGCCTTAAAGTGTACAGAAGCCTCTTGACAGCAGGGCTTGTGACTTAGGAAGATAAGGCGTGAACAATGGAGAGTTATTAACGGGAATAATTTTCCATGCAAATTGGAAGCACCGCAGAACAATAGCATGGCTGTGGCTTAATGGCACCAGGTTGTCTGCAGGGCTGAACATAAAATATCACAGTAGGAAAGAAATAACAAAGACAAAAGCTACTAGAACAAAACTGCTTTCAAAAAATGAGCTGGGGCAGCTGGACCGCAAGATCCCTTTTCCTGGAGCTGGTTCCAGAGATTCAGTGACCAGAAAACATGCCTGAAAAGCCAGAGCTAAAAAACAACTGCAGATCTGTTAGACCTGAAGACTTTCATGAACCCAATACATAATCTAAACACCTTCACCAGATTCACCTTCATTCCACATCTAGGGGTCAGCAGGATTAATGACAGATGTATTTGAAAAGGTTAGCACCTATATTAATCAAATATGTTGGCCCCTTCAGCACAGGAAACAGAGAAGCAATGTAAAGAGATGAGCAAATTAACATTTCCACATGGATTGTCTTTTCTGAAAGAAGAGTCTTCAGCAGAAAGGATGTAGGAAGGGGAAGGGCTAGTGGAAGTTGCAGGTATTGGGATACACGTCCCCTGGGGTAAGTAGCTGCTGCTGTGACTTTCCCCAAGACATATTTCTGCTATGTGTGTTGCTATGACTCACAGCTGAGCAGCAGAGCTGGTACTAGTCCAGGTGGCAATAGCTTATGCTGGTTGAAATACCAATCCCAAGAAGCTCAAGGGGAAAAAAAAAGTTCACACAGCAAACAAAGAGATAGCAGCTGTTCCGCTGGCCCTCCTGTCCTCTCCTTGCTGAAGCCTCCTCCACTTATACATAACTGACACCCACAGAAGTGATCATGCAGAAGGCAAATATTTCCATTTGATGTTTTGGTGGACAATCTATGTCGCAGCAGAATGCTGTCCGAAACATGCAGACCTCTTCTGCTTTATTCACTCTGACAGGATTATTTTAGAACACAAGTGACAGGAAATAATGTTTTCTGCAGTTCATCAGGAAACAGAAGAAGTCAAAGCCTCCGACTCTCGAGGAACAGGAGCTATGACGTCCTGTCCAGGCTGCTCATTCAGCGCCTCTCTGCCCCTAAAAGAAGCTTGAAATAGAACTTTCTTAAACGGAGTTGATTTTGCTGAGTCAAATCAAACTACTGTATGTCTGTGTCTTCAAAAACTCCAAATGTAGTTTATGTTCTACTGGAAACCAAAAGGTGACAGTCAGCCAGCTCCGGTCCATCAAGTGCAACATTCACCAAAATCAACAGAGCTGTATCCCTTGCCCCTAAGTCTGGAAGTTTTCCAGCAAGTTGCTAACATAAAGGAGGTCAACCATTTCTAGTACTGTGGATGGATGGATGGGTGGATGGAAAGAAGAATGGAAGGAAGAGACAGAGGGAGGAAAAGAGGGAGAGAGGGAGGGAGAAGCGATTCCCACAGAATAAGATTGCTGTGTGTCGATGTTTGGGAAGTCTACATTGCTGATGCCTCCTGTGAGCCTTTCTGTGGTTACACAGATGATTTCGGTCTCTGTGCTATTAGTCTGACACCTTCAATGCTTACTTGATTCTCTACTGAAAACTTTGATGCTAAATCTTAAAATCAAGAAACTGGTTTCCTCTGCCCATGTGACAAAGCCAGAATGAGGAAGAAAATATAAATTTGTTTTCTTTATTCTGTCGCAGTGATTAGTCATTACTTAATCCAACAGCCAAAGCACAGGTTTTCTGCATATGTGGAAGCAAGATTACCCTGTTTCTGCTGTACATATTTATCCAACTCCCTGTCTATCGTCCCCCTTAATCTTTGTCCCTCACTCATCTCACCATTCCTCCCAGTCGCCTTCTTGCTCCCGAACCACGGCTCCGAGCCTTACTGTCTTTCATTCTCTAGAGACCAAACTGCAGAAGAATAAAACGTGAAGGGCAGATGGGTCAAATACTAGTTACATCTGACTGCTTGCTTCCCTTTTCATGAAAGCCTGCCTTTTACTTTCATTTCTGCCCTCCAAGAATCTGGGCTTCAGCCACTGAGAAAAAAAGCAACCATGCAGAGTAGTTTGATTTCGGACCCTTCTTCCAGAGGAGTGGCTGAATTTTTCCGGCTAAACTGGGTTCCAGTATAAAAGTAAAGTTCGGCTTTCAAGTAAACCAAAATATCTATTTTCTAAACCATTTTATGGGAAGAAACAGGATGAAGAGAGATGAGAATGAGTATTATTAAAACTTTAATGCTTTTACCACCAAATTAATAATTTCCCATGAAAATAATATATTAATTTAAATTAATCAAAATTTTCTATGGGGAAAGCACATCCTAAGTCAGTAAGCCTTCCTTCCAAACTACCTGTTCATCTGGAAGCTTTGGAGCTTGAGAATAATTCACAGGTACATATATTACCTACACAAGTGTGGAACACGCTGCTGTGTAAGATGCGGACTCAGAAGACTCCATCATGGAAAAGAGGTGGCTGACGAAGGATGCATTTAGAGATCTATTAAAGGAGGTGCCATAGGGGAAGTGAATAGGCATGGGCTGTCCCTAGTCTCTCCTCCGATACAAGAGTGAAGGGGCATCAGATAAAACTTGCACAGAGCAGGCTGGAACAACAGAAGTGCTCCTTTATACACTGAGCTAAACCGTGGAAATCCTTGCTGCAAAAGAGTGTGTGTACAAAGGCGCTGCATGGGCTCAATAAGCAACTGAGAAAATCCATAAAGGATCACTGAATAGGAAAGCCTTTGGCAATGGAAGTCCATGAGCTACACATTACTGCAGGCCAGAAGAAGATTCCGGAAAAGTTTCACTACCTCCTTGCCTTACCTTTTAATTCTCCCCTAGGCATCTGCTCTCAGCCACCTTTGGAAAAGGGCTAAAAGGATGTTCTATCTGGCCAAGCACAACCGTTCCTTTGTTCTTCAGCTTTGACTCAAAATAAGGGTCTTTTATACACAACAGTATCTACAGCTTGTTGAGCTCACCAAAGGTATTGTTCAGCTTTATGAAAGGACTTAAGCCAGACTTAACATCCCAAGGGCAGTTCTGCTCTGTAAATGCTTCCAGTAATGGGGTTTCACGTTTGTCATTTTCAGTACTTCCCATGTATAACATGAAAGCATAAATCCAACCTGATCTCTAGAGCTCGTGATGGCTTTTTTCCTTCCTGAATTTTTCTCCAGAAGACCATATTATTTCCCTTAAGATTTTATATGCAAACTCACTGCTTTCAGAGTGACTGGAATATAATGTGAAATAAAGGAAGTGCTCCCGTATACACTGAGTCAAGCTGTGGAAGTCCTTGCTGCAAAAGACTGAACTTTTTTCACACAGAACTGCATCAAACATCGCCTCCTTTAGTTGGGCATGACTACAAGCTGGGCAGAGATAAAATCAGGGGAAAACCCCTCCTCTGGTCACCAAAGCAAGAGATGATGTCAGCTGTTCCTACAGAAGGTGAAATTCTTCCATGGTGACTTCAGAAGTGTCACATTTAAACTGGCCTTTGGCTCTTCTTGGCTTTAAACACAGATCTCTCTTGAGTGAGCCTTCAGTGACTCTATCGTGATGTTGGTTTGGTGTGACCAGAGGGAAGGTTGCCATTTCAGCAAAAATTCAGAAGTGGTGACAGTTATATGGGCAGCAGCAAAGTCAGAAGCACTACACTTCTTGGAAATGAAAGACAGGCCTTGACGTTTCTTCTAGGTTCAGAAATAGGAGAAAACTATTCAGTTCCTGAGACCAGGTACACACCTTAGCTGCATCCTAACATCAGCTTGTCTGCAGGAGTTTGACCTCAAAACACAACTACTACTATTTCACTGACACCTTGGCAGCCAAAGCCTAGATGCACAAACTTGTGGGGAACTGCGGCGCACTAAACGTACTACTTTGACTATAAATTTTACTTACCAGCTGAATAAGCACCCGGGCTGCTGTTTAGCTGGACGTCTGCTACGTGCTTCGCGTGCTCGTTGTGTGCTTGTGACGTTCAAGCTCTTGTTTCATTATTTTGTGGCCCCCTTTGATAAGAAAGTAGTTCTGCCGTGCCTTGGGCAGGGTGTCACTCTGTGTGTGCGGCACAGAGGTGAGAAAAATGAGTTCGTCCGGCACCTACACAAGTACACGGCATTACTAGATTGTGAGATGTAACTCCCAGTCTCAAATATTATTACTTATGCGCTTTTTCCTTCACAGTTAATATTCTGAGTAGTTTCAATTGTCATCTATGGGTAGAATTTTCAAAACCGCAAAGTGTCAGCCTAACTCTGCTTCCACCAAAATCAACAGCATTTTTACCGACTTTGGGTTTGGGTGATGGTTGCGCACTATGAGGCTTTTCATCTTGTATTTCAAAAATCAAAAAGAACCTCTAAACAGAAGACCCACTGTTGAAGGCATTCTGGCTAAATTAAATCCTTCTTTTTTAATTCTGCCTCTCATTCCCCAGAATATTTTGAACATTAGGAAAGGTATCTGACCGTGAACACTTCAGACAGATGGGGACATAAACCTGGGTTAGAAATATGGGCAGGCCAGCCATTGAAAGAGATAACAGCTTCAGGAACACATAAAAATTAATGGTCTATCTACCAATGTAAATAAAACCTAAGTTACCTTATCTCTAGAGCTCATAGGAGTTTTTTATAAAAGTCTTGACTGTTGCTGTGCCATACTTCAAGGGCTTATACAAAATTGCTTTGACCTGCCAGTCCCAAAACCTCATTCACTGACAACTTCTGGCACTTTATCCTAATGCTGAAATCATCCTTTTAAAATTAAATGATTGTACCATTCTCCAGCATCCAACCTGGTCCTCTAGAGTTTCACGCCTGGTCACAGGGAGGGTGGTTAAGCACTCGAACAGGTGCCCAGAGAGACTGCGTGTAACAAAACCCAACTGGGCAAGGCCTGAGCAACCTGATCTGACTGTGACATGCTCCCTGTTTTGAGCAGGAGCTTGGACTAAGTGACCTCTAGAGATCTCTTCCAACCTCATTTAGTCTCAGACTCAATGATTCTGCTTCTTTTTTCCTTATATCACTTACTGCTAAGGGATCTCACGTAAAAACGCAGCTATTGTCGCCCTCTCCCCCGCTAGCCTTAGCTTTTCACAAGTTTTTTTCCCCTGGACCTTTCCTCTGCCATCCTAATGAATACCCTGTTTTGGTATTTTCTCATGGTGTCTAGCCATCAGCTTTAAAGACAACACAGACAGAACTTTAAGCCTTTCTCCCCAAAACCTTCTCCAAATTCTCGGTCATCAAGACAACACAAACATCTTCAGCTCAGTCTCACTGCTATGTGCTAACTTTTACTTATCCAGCTCTGCAAACCTACATATTCAAGCTGTATCTAAACATTGCAGTTTCTTTGTACATCATATCTCTTACACTCATCCCCTCCTTTCAGTCATCGGGGATCTAAGACAGGGATCCAGAGATCTGAGGCTTATATTTGGTATTATACCTACTTGTATACATCATTTTGTATGATGTTTGCATTCTGCAGTCTTTTATGACTCACTTAAGATATTCTACAGTATCACAGATCTTTTGCTTCCCATTATTTTTTCTTTTGTCAAAAGAGCTCATCCCCTCAGTTTGTTAAAAAAGATAATTTCTGTAAGCTAAAGCTAAAAATGAAGATTAATTCCATGATCTTAGCTCTCCTTCCAGTTCTGATGTCCCATCTTTATTATTGGATGACATGAAGGATGGTAGCAAAGATACCGGATTTGAGATTCATGAAACTTGGGATTATTTCCTGCATTTCAGTAGGTCTGCAGTGCAGAGCTTCACATGAATTAGTTCAGAGACAACTGTAGTTCAGCTGGAATACATGAAGACTTTGAAACATCTCATTTACATTGTGAAAGTAGAATTCTTTATTTAAAGCTACCTTTGGTATCTATTTACCTATTGAAGTCTAAAGGGTAAACATGCCCAAAGGCTCTGCTAAAAACTGCACCTCAGGAAAATGGAGATAACACAATTTCCTCCCTCTTACCCTTCTTCATCTGCTTATGCTGATATTAACGTCTTTGCAACCTGGAATGTACTTTATTGTATGTTTCCAAAGCATAACTGGACATCCACTCTTTTGAATGAATGTAGAGATTTAAGCAGAAATTAAGCAAAAAAACAGCTTTACTGCTTCATCTTTTCAAGGGCAGCCTTTTAAGAAATGCATCCTCCCTTATGCTGCAGCCTTTCAGAAGAGATTCCTACTTTCTACGAGAACCAATGAGATTAACTTTTGTCATTTCATCTTGGTCCTGTAAGTAAGGCTAGGAAATGCAGCTGAAACTAAAATCTTCCATACGGTTTCTGTTTTCTGTGCATATTTTTGAATATCAGGTGACATATGTGGGTGGGGGAACTTCAAGATTAGCCTTAATCAAATCTCAGCTTTTGCTGGAACTTCCCAAAGCTTTTCTCACCCTTTGCTCCCAACTGAAACGTTTTGCTAGTTTTGGGTGCATTCCAATTAGAACTTAAAATACTTGGGTTTGGTTTGTTGTCTTGCTGTGTTCCAAGTACTTCCAAGTTTTGTTTCATCATTCAGATCTATCCCTTTAGTCTTCCATCCTGAAGTTAGCTCTAAAATGTTACCTCTGCAGCCGAGATACAGACCACATTCAAACAAATCTTCTGGTGATTTCCAAAAGAGTTTTAGTCTGAATAAGGAAGAAAAAAATTGATCTTCTACCACAGGGAACAGAGACGAAATTCACAGGACTGAAGCAGAGTGAACCCATACTGACAGCAGCTTCTTGATACCATTCTAGACAGAAAAGATGAAAAATAGCTTTGCTATGTTTCTGTGGAGAAAGATCACTCATTCCAGTAATGATCAGCAGAAGAACTTTCTAATGTAAGAGGGTGGGTTCATAAAATGAGAGTTGGAGAGTGAACAACTAATCCAGAACAAAGTAAATTCTTTTAACCATCTTTCTCAGATGAAAAAAATAGTCTTCATGAAAGGAAAAGGAAAGTGTAAACTTAGAGCTAGAATTTATGATCAGAAAGAAGATACTTGTGGAAAGAGGCTGATTTCACGCAAAAAAGACCCGCGGGGCAAAAGTGTTAAGATGAGTCCTTACAGCTATCTAGTGCCTAACAGAATGGGTCTCCTTTCTGGTTGAGAACTTTAAGGATGTTACGGAATATGTGCTAAATCATACCAGAAGCCATCAATTTCTTCCAAGTGATAACTGATTAAATATATGCTGTGATTTTCCTCCTCACTTTAGCTTGCTTTCAGTTGCTCATGCCTTTTCTTTAGCTTTCTCCTCTTTCCCACCTCACAAGTAGAAGTTTTGATCTGCTCTCCTCATTTAACATCTTCTCTTGCCATCACAATCCATCCCTGTTCCAGCTCCTGGTCTATTTTGCACCTCCTTGCGTGACTCCTTCTCTCTTTTTCTTAACCTCTTTTCCTGTCCGTCTGTTTCTGCTCCCAACACAAATAACCTTGATTACGTTCTATCCTAAGTCTGCTACTTCTGCAGCTTTTTCTCTCTCATCTCTGCTGGAATAAGATTCATCATGGAGCAGGTAAATATAATTTTTATTAATAAGGCAAAATGCCTAAAATTATGGCAAATATTCACATAGAAGAAATTGATACAAATATGAGCAGCAAATTTGTCTCTGTGAATTATTTCTAGTCATTAATTTCCAGTATCTGTGTTATTTTTCTTCCTTTTCACCACCTACCTTTATTAGTTTGGCTTTGTTTTGACTAGCTTCCATTGCATTGGTGACGTTTTTGGTTTGGGTTGGGTTTTTTCTTTTTACCAAACCAGTTACTCAGTTTTTATTCTTTACGTGCATTTTCATTTCTTTCTACTAATTCATCCTATAGTACCAGCCTTAACCAGCTACAGGTGTTCCCAGGCTTTATACTCAGAAGACGGAAGAGGTCTTTCTTTTAGAATTATTTAGCAATTGGTCTCACTTAGCAAGTAAACCTAACCAATGATTTCAGATATTCCATGTATGCTGAACACGGCACCTATAAGTGCACTGTCTAGAGTTGGTTTTTTAATTACATCTCAGGCCTCCTCCAGTTCAGTTCCTGGCAAGTGAATTCTACTAAACTATTTTCACCATAATCCCTAGTGACTTCTTCTTAACCAAAGCTTACAATTCTAGCGCTGCAGGCTTCCCGTTCTTCGCCTGTCAGTTGTTCTTGACACGACTACAGCATCATTTCTGAGAATTTGACGCTCATTGGCTTCAGGGTCTCCTAATTCTCCTCCACCCTCTATAACAGCTCACAAAGCTGTTTGGCGGCATCTTCATTCCACTCCAGCACTCCAAGGGGGATGGGGTGTTCTGTCAAACCCTGGGTTTGCTTCCCTTCTCTTCTTCTGCCCCTTATCTCTGAATAATCACTCCCCCGGTGCGCTTAACAACTTCATGCTCGTCGCTTACAAATCCACATTTCCACTCTAGGCGTGAATCATTTTAGCCAAGCTAACAACTCAGCCTGTCTTTCTGACAGCTCGCTCTGGATGTGTAATCATCAGTGTCAGCTTAATATGGTTAATCACTCCCCCCCAGTAATTTATTTTCCTAGCTTTGGCAACACAGCCTTGCATCATCAAATGTTTCAGCAAAGACAAACTTTCCATCTTGATATTTTCATTTAATCTCCTTTCTTGAGACATCTCTTAATCTTGCTTTTTTGTCTCATTAAGTATAACCCTACCAGTCTCCTGTTTGCAGGACCCATCACAGCCTAGCCCTAATCTACTTACTGCATTGTTTGCTATTGAAATGCTGAGTCTGAGAGGGTCCCTTCCAAATAACTAGTGATATAGCCACCTATGAAATGTTGAGATCTACACCATTCTATTTCCTTCTATCCTACTTACGTGTGCCTTCATGTTTCCCTTTAAAATGCTCCTTTGTTACGAGTCCTAAAAAAATATGCTATAGTGAGATCAAGTCAAGTTCCCTCTTCCTTACCAGCCTGTGTTCCTCTTATCTTTTTGGGTTACTCTCAGATTATAAGACTTAAGAGGAGAAAAACACCTTAATAGCAATGGGATTTGCTGCACCTGAGTAAAAATCCTAATTTTAATAGAAATATATGC